TGATCTTCCTCACAAAAAAAAAAAAAAAAAAGGAAAGTAGGAAAAAAAAAAAAAGTTAACCGTAGCAAAAATGCTACTAGATAGCAATGTCCTAACAGATGAAAATGGATTATAAAATATGGGAACATTTCCTTAGAAATTACATATTTTCAAGCCTGTCTCAAGTACAAAATCAAAACTTCTAAATACACCAAATTTGTTTTTGAAGTTTTTACTCATTTAACAAATATTCAGTGATGGTCAACTGCTTGCCAAGCACTGCACCACTCCCTCTGGAAATACAATGTAAGCAAAAACAAATAGGATACTTAGAGTCCAGCATAGGAGACGATCAAATAATAACAATGTACAATGGACTGTAGCCTGAATTATGTGCTCTGAGGGTGAGAACACAGCTCTCTTTGACAGGAATATGATTTTGACTTAGAGGTCAGGAAAGGGTTCCCCAGGAAGTCACATATAAGCTGAGATCTGAGGGATAATTAGATTTTAATTAGGCAAAGGAAAGGAGATAAGAAGGGCAGATTCCAAGAAAAAGTGAATATAAAGGAAGTATTAAGGCCTTGTAAGGTAGAGGGAACAAGACACATTCAAGAAAACCCACGTGGCAGGAGCAGAAAAGGAGGACTGGAGACATAGGCAGGAGCCCAGACCATATTGAGCCTTATAAGCCAGGTTAAAGAGTTGGGTTTCTTAAGAACAGAAAGTCAACGCAGGGCATTCAAGCTTGGGGTAACATATTTGTCTTTTGTTTTAACTTTTTCGAGGAAATTTTAAAATGATTCACAAGAAGATGCAAAAGTAGAACGGAGTTCATGAGTAGCCTAAACCCAGCTTTTCCCAATAATAGCATCTTACAATGATCAAACCCAGGAAATTAACATTGGTATAGTAAGTAACTAATCCATAGACCTTATTTGTATTTCACCTGTTTTAACATTCACTTGTGTGTGTGTAGTTCTATGAAGTATCATCATAGGCACAGACTCATGTAGCCACCACCATAATCAGGATACAGAACTGTTTCCTTACCCCAAAGAAACTCCCTCATGCTGCTCCTCTGTCACACCCTCCACCAACCATAAGCCCTGGGAACCAACTGTTCCCTGTCATTTTCTCATTTCGTGAATGTTACATAAATAGAATCACACAGTATACAACATTTTGAGATTGCCTTTTTTTCCACTCAGCATAATGCTTTTCAGAGCCACCCAAGTTGTAGGATGTTATCAATGGTTCTTTTTTATTGCTGAATAATATTCCATTTTATAGACATACCACAGTTTGTTTACCCATTTATCTGATGAAGGACATTTAGGCTGATTCCAGCTTTTTGCAATTCTTATGTTTTGAAAAGATGCCTTTGACCACAGTACGCAGATTGGGCCACAGGACAGTCAGAGTAGATGCAGAGAGACTATTAAGAAGGATATCAAAGTAGTTCAAATAGAAAATGATAACACCCCTAGACTAGTGATTCTCAAATGGGGGGAGGAGGGCGATTCTGCCCCCAGGCATCATGTTTGGTTGACAGAACTGTGGGGGTACTACTTGCATCTAATAGGTAAAGGCTGGGGACACCGCTAAAAATTCTACAATGTACAGGGCACCCCCACAAGAAAGAATTATCTGGCCCCAAATATCAATAATGCCAAAGATGAGAAACTTTGACTAGACTAAGGTGATGATAGTGCAGATGGAGAAGAGCAGATAGATTCAAGAAATGTTTAGGTGGTAAGACTCAGTGATAGACTGTATATGGGAGCAATGAGGGAGAGAGGCATAACTTGCACAACTGGATAGATGGTGGAGCCATTCACCTTGGAAGAGGTCAAGATGTTTGTTTAACATCTTAGAGGTGGATGGGACTACACAGTGTTTAATAATGGACATGCTGAGTTTAAGCTCCTTGAAATATCCAAGTAGACACACTGACTTGGTCTGCAGCTTAGAAATCACATAAGTGTGGCTTTCATCAGTTTACTCATAGTCCCTAAAGTCATGTTCAGAGATGAGATTATCTAAGAAGAGAATACCAAGTGAAAAGAGTAGATGATCCAAACAACCCCTGAAGAACAGCCAGCCAGGTAGAAGACAAGCTTGCAAAGAAGAATGCAAGATGACCAAAAAGAAAGGAAGAAAACCAGGAGATTGTGGCATCCAAAAGCCAGAGTGTTTCAAGGTAGGAACAGACAACAGTATCAACTGCTGCAGAGACACCAAATAGAATGTTATCTGAAAAATTCAATGGACTTGCCAAAGTGGAGATGAACTTAGTGAGAGCTGTTTCCAGGAAGGAGTGGGGATAGAAGCTAGTTTCAACTGGACTGAGGGTTGAGAGGTGAGGGAAATACGTACAGCACTTTCAAAAAGTTCGGCTGTGAATGTAGAGGAAAGATCTATGGCAATAAGCAGAGAACAGGGATCCAGGGAGGCAAAATCCTTTCATTCAGTACCTATACACCAAAGGTAGATAACCTCAGAGAGAAACGGCCGTCTGGGGACTTTAGCACTCCCTGCCAAACCTACCTCGAAATTTTCTTCATCTCCCCATTTTTCTATTGGTCACTCATCTTCCTCCTTCAGATGCTACCAAATCCTTATAGTAGTTAGTGGAAGTCAGATTTAAAGAGAATCCTGATCCCTAATATTAACGAATGTGTTGGCAAAAGAACCTGTACAATGAATACAACCCACAACATGGAATAATTGGGCAACTTCTTTCAGTCTTTAAAAGCTATACTAATTGAGAATTGGCATAATGACAATACTGGGTAAATTTTTTACATAAACATAATACCTTCTGCTAAAGAAAAGCTATTGTGATAAGGTAAGTGAAATGTCAAAGACGGTAAATGTTTTAAATGCTCAAGTCTCAGCACAACAAGTAGTATTAATTATCAACACTAAAGAAAAAGGGATGGAAATGGCTTGGATTATTGAGTCCTCACTCTCTGGCCAAACCCTCCTCTTTCAATTTGCTTGAGTCTTGCTTTTTCTGTTAACAAGTGAATGGCTACTTGTAAGGACACAAGAAAAGAAACGGAATAATGGAGCTTTGATAAACGTAAAAGCATTAAAAGCAATTCTTATTGTTGATGTACTACTAGCGCAGAGGTTGTCTCTACCACCCGAGAGTGAGCGCTGGAGCAGGGTCTGAGTTTCATCTTTGTATTCTCAGCTCTGATCCCAAAATAAACTTCCATAAATGTTCACTGAATTAAGTAGTGGCTGTAAAGAGAAAGACTGGAATGCCAAAATGTGTCACGTTCACAATACACATGCTGTCTCTCAAAATAACTACTTTAAATGATAAAAACACTCTTGGATATAAATTCTGCCAATCTAGGATACAGGCTATCCTGCAAATTTGCCTCAAACGGGTCCCAGGAACGAACAAAGAGACAGCAGAATGAAAACGCCCTCCTAGGCACCGATGGGGGAACCTACGGGAAATAAGCTTCCCATAGCCGGTCCCGGTTTGACCCAGGAGCCTGCAAGGCGGGAGCGGCCTCCCCCTGGGCTCCGTCTGCCACGTCTCCAGGCCGGGCTGGGCCGGGCTAAGGTCAGCGTGCGCCTGCCGCGGGTCTCTCTCCCCGGGCCAGCGCGCTGGAAGGCGGAGCCAAACGGCCAGGGGCGCGGGCCTCGGTCCCCGGACAGGAGCAAAGTGCCGGAACAAGACCCGCGAACCGCACCCGCAGTGCGATCCGCGGCGGGGACTGCGCGCCTTGTGACGTGTGCCCGGGCTGCACCCCGCATGCTCCCACCGCCCAAGCCCAGACCGAACGACTGCGGGGCTCCGACACGACCCTGGCATCCCGTGGCGCCGGCCGGCCCGCCCACCTTGCAGGGACTGAACCCCTAGGCGCCCGGCACCGCCGCCCGCATGCATCGGCGCTGCTGCCAGGCTGACGCTCACCTGGGGACCCGCAAGAGTGTCTGCTGGCAGCTGAAAAGGAGGGGACAGTGAGGTCGGGGTGCTAAGACTACCGCTGGGACACGACGAGAAAGATGCAGACAGGAACTCGCCACCGCGCGTACCCGCCTCCAAGATGGCCACCGGCGGCGCATGCCCCTGCGCCTGCCACGTCGGCCGAGCGCCGCCCTGCCCCGCGCCTCGCCCCGCCCCGCCCCGCTCGCTGGGAGCCCCGCCCCCAGGGCGCAGGTTAAACCCGAGCGCCGTGGTCCAAAGATCCGGCTGCCCGCCGAGGCGTGGCGCTGCGGGTTTCAGAAGCTTTCTCCAGTAGGACTGCCCTCCTTTCTCCTCCGCACCCCCGAGACGCGCGAATCGCACTCTCTTACCAGGTGTCTCTCACTCATCCTGTGCCGTGGCCGCCCATGGCTATAGAGATGAGGCAGCCTAGGTCTAGTCCAGACCCCGCCTCCAGGCAGGACCTCGCTCCAGACAGGGGACTTATCCTATGTGTTTTCAAAGATTTCCACCTAACTGCAGTTGCATCAGGATAGAGAGAGAGAGCGGGGTGGGGAAAAGGTAGCAGCTACTGTACTGATTTTTTCCCTAAGTACATGTATTTTATATTCTTTTTTTTAAATTGAAAAACCAAAGACAAAGATTATGAACTTTCTTAACCTTATGTACTTTCACTTAAAACAGTATCTGAAACAGTCGGTGTCCAATAATGTACATTAAATAGATCAGTGAATGGAATGCGGTGGAGGAAAATAAAGAATTTGAAATCAGAAGTCCTGGTTTGGGTCTGAGACTACCCTAACGCCAGTTGCGCAGCTGTGACCCTGTACGGGTCACTAAGTCTCCATATTTCCATCTGTAAGATGAGAATAATATTATCTGCCACTCTAACTCGGGCAAGTAACAGAGTCAAACAAAATAAGGTATATGAAAGCACTTTTTAAACTGCTGACTGTTAAAACACATAAAAAGTTGTTTTTATTGTTCCCAAATTCTTTCAGGAACCCATTCATAGATTTAACATCAATATATCTCTTAGACTTGATAGTTGTAAGCATTCTAAAATGCCTCACCGAAAAGTTAATGCTATTTAACTATGCCCTGACTTCAGATCTCGCTTTGCAACTACAATGGGTTGTTCCCTTCGGTGGTGACTCTTACTCCTTCCACTGAGAATGTGTGTAGGTGGCTGTCTAGGTTACTCTCCAGAAAGTGCTGTTTGGGGTGGTGCTGAAAATAGTTATTATCTCTGTCCTCTTTAGTTGACACCCTTAATAGCTATAAAGTCTGTTAGTTTCTTCATTCATACAACAAATATTTATTAGTGGCTGCAATGTACTGAGCATTAGTAATGGAAATGTAGAATGAGCAAGATACTTGGGGAGCGTTCATTCTCATAGGAGAGAGAGGCTACGAACAGGAAAATAAACTAAGTACAGTTTGTGATGGGCACTTTGAGGAAAATCAATAGGGTGATGTGACAGAGACAGTAATTGGGGCAGGCCACTTCAGACAGGAGGGACATGCAAGGCTTCTCTGAGGAGGCGGGAGTTGAGCAGAGACTTATAAGGAAGCAGACGTGTGGTTATCTGGACACAAGGAAGAGCATGCAAAGGCTCTGAGGGAGAGTGCTCGGTACATCTGCTGAACAGCAAGGAAACTAGGACTGAGAGAGTGGTGAGAAATGAGTCAGAGAGATGCAGGGGCAGATCATACGTAGCCTTGAAGGCTGTGATAAGGCCTTTAGGTTATAGTCTGAGAGAAACGAGAAGCAGGTGAGAGGTTTTGAGCAGAGAACTGGCAAGATTTGACTTCAGTTTTAAATAACATTCTGATGGCTGTGACTATAAGGGGCTCAAGGATTAAAGCAGAATTACCAGTAATGGGACAATGGTGGCCTAGAATAGCTAATGTGGCAGGAGGAGGTGGTACATGGTCTGGACATATGTTGAAGGTTGAGCTGTCATGATTTAGTGATGGATTGGATGTGGGCTGTATTAGTTTCCTGAGACTGCTGAAACTACAACTACTGGTTGGCTAAAACAACAGAAATGTATTATCTCACGGTTCTTGGAGACAGAAGTCCAAAATCAAGGGTCAGCAGAGCCTCTCCAATAGCCCTAGGGAAGACTCCTTCATTGCCTCTTCCAGCTTGTGGTCGATCCTGATGTTCCTTGGCTTGTGCCAGCATAACTCCAATCTCTGCCTGTCTTCACATGGCCTTCTCCCTTGTGTCTCTGTATCTCAAATCTCCCTCTACCTTTCTCTCATAAGAATACCTGTCCTTGCATTTAGGGCCCACCGTAAATCCAGAATGATCTCATCTCAAGATCCTTGAGAGTCTAGACTCCATTTCCAGATAAGGTCACATTCACAAGTTCCAGGTGGACGTATCTTTGGTGGAGGGGGTGGGCACCATTCTACTCACTATGGGCCATGAGAGACAAGAGTCAACCAAATAAGCTGTATTATAAGATGAGTTTTGAAGTTAACCTTCATCTGTATTTACAATATTTTATGTTTTATTTACCACTTTTCATTTAAACTTCAAAAGAAGTTTGTGTGGCTGGTGCTATTATTATTCCAATATTAGAAATAAGGAAACGAAGGCTCTGAGAATTGTGTGTAGACCTGGGATTGGAACCCAGAATTCTTTAGCTGTACCTGAACTGCTTGCCTGCTTTTGGGGTGGTAGGGTAAGAAGATGTGTTCTTAGATGGAGGGCAATGAGGGAGTCAATGGAAAATTATAGCTTAATGTCAGAGCAAATAACTGCTTAGTTTTTTCAGTTGTTGCTAATAGAACTCCTCACATTTTTCCTTATAGGAAGTCTCTAATACATAATTGAGTTCATTTGTGAGCTCTAATGAGCAGTACAGTGCTAGAGTGGAATTTTGCTTTTATTGCTCAAGAACACAGGCAAACAAAGCTATTTCCCACTTGAGTTGAGGCTTTTTTTCCCTAACTCAATCTAGAGTGAATAGGTCAATACTAAAAATTCTTAAAACAGTCCAAAAAGTTTGTAATGTTAGTATGAATATTGACTATTTCCACATGGGGAGGAGCAAGGCTGAGACTCTGAGCATCTGCAGCATAACCAGGACCAGAGGCCCAGCTGAATCTAGTTTGAGAGACAATGGGCTCTGCTGAGAGAGCAGTCCACGAGTTATACAACTACAAAGCACACTTCAGCAGGTGTATCAAGGGTACTGGCCAAGACATAGAGGTCAGGGGCCCATACCCACACCCAACCCATGCAAAGAGGATATGTAAGTTCCTTCAGCAACTAGAAAAGAGGTTGCCCCAAACATTGCATGGAACACACTTTTATTAAGCAATTATTCATTGTTTATCTGTAATTCAAATTTAGGAGGCAAGCAAGCCATGTAGTCTAGATTAGGACATAGATTTGGTACCAGATGACTTGGTTTTGAATCCTGGCTCTAGCACCTGCTAGGTCAACAGCTAACCTTGGGCGTGTCACTTAAACTCATTGTGTCTTTATTTCTTCACCTATAAAATGAGAACTTATATTAATACCTACCTCATAGTTTTTTGCTTGAGGATTAAATGACTTAATATGTGTGAAGTGCTTAGGACAGTGCCTAACTCATAGTATTCTCTATATAATTATAAGCTCTTATTCTTTGACTGTTAAATTGTCTAAATATTCATCTGACAATGACTGTTTTAAACCAAAAAGACTTTTATTTAAGTGAGTCTCAGTTTCCAAATCAAGGTTGTTTGTTTTCAACTAAAGAAAATTTAGTTTAGTTACAAATAGAGTGACTCTACCTCTTAATTTGCCTAGGACAAATTTAGGGCTGTTGTCTCAGCATAATTATTAAAAGAACCCACATTTTATTCTCGAAAGTGTTACAGTTTGGACAGTCAATGTTATGGTCATCCTAGTTACAGAGATAACAAGAAGTTACTCTTTTTGCAGATGTGAGTTATAGTGTGCCAATGCCAATACTTGCACCTCGCCTGCACACACATAATCATCATTACGAGAGTCCATTTCAATTTCCTCAAAGAGGAACTAGCTTATCTTTCTAAAATATCTATTCTTAAAAACATTCTATGACTCTTCATTGCCCGCATGCTAAAATCTTAAAAATTCAATTTACTGTTACTTTCTAGACTCTTCTCCTTTTCCTGCATCTTCCTGCATATTCCCCGGGCACCAATGGCAAGGATCTGCCCCCTCCAAGCCTGAAAGCATGTGCATTTGCTCCTAGCAGTCCCTCTGCCTGAAATGCATTTTTCCCTTCTCACCTTCTGCTAATAGGTACTCCTCATTTTTCAAGGACCAGATCAAAGTTTTCTTCCATCATAAAACCTTTTCACCTTGCATTTTGTTGGTTGTACATGTCTGTGTTCCTTATTCTTTTATGAGCTCCTTGATGGTAATAACTTGTTTTTAAAATCTCAATACATTCCAATTTTTATATAGAGTGAGTACTCTAGGAACACTTTTTGAATTGATTTGAATTTCCTATGAAGATTCAAGTGTAGTATACACATTACAAAAAGTCCTCATAATCATCTTTTTTTCCCCTAAATATGATTTTACTAAAAATAATCTTGTAGGAGACAGAACAAATATGCTTCCTTTGGAAAATTTGAAATTTTACTTTGAATAAGAAACCATGCAACTAAAATTAGTTCTGTGGCCAAAGAAACAATGTTAATATGCTATAATTTATTACAAAGGATTCTAAATTTTTTTTCTACTTTTGTGTTTTTACAAAGTTAAAAGTTTGCATAACTTCAGCCAATATGTCCCAATGCATCATGACTCCTAAATATTTTACCTATGATAGTATTTCTCAAGCGTTCAGTTTCACAGAACGCTCCATTTTTCCCCTCTAGGTTTTACATCATAGTTTAGAAAAGAAAAGTTTAGGAAACATAACACAATTATTATTACAAAGACTTTCATTTACAAACAATGTTTAAAGCTCAGAAATTGTATTCATTCTTTTGGCAATTCAGCATTTCTCTAAGGCTTAGAAGAGA